GCGATGACAGTTATGACGATGAGGAGGGAGAGATGAATGGGGGACTGAACGCAGCTGGCAATGAAGAGGACGATGAAGATGAAGATGAAGACGAAGACGAAGACGAAGACGATGAGGAAATTGATGATGACGATGAAGAGAGCGACGAGGAGATAGAAGACGAGGACAAGGAGGAAGAGCAGCCGGTGAAACGTGCCAAGACAGAAGAAAATGGTCAGGCTCAAAGGAGCTCGCAGCAGGTGCAGAGCCCTCAAGGCCGCCCCAGCAATCAGCAGAAGCAGGCACAGAGCCCTCAAGGTCGCCCCAGCAATCAGCAGAAGCAGGCACAGAGCCCTCAAGGTCGCCCCAGCAATCAGCAGAAGCAGGCACAGAGCCCTCAAGGTCGCCCCAGCAATCAGCAGAAGCAGGTGCAGAGCCCTCAAGGTCGCCCCAGCAATCAGCAGAAGCAGGTGCAGAGCCCTCAAGGTCGTCCCAGCAATCAGCAGAAGCAGGTGCAGAGCCCTCAAGGTCGCCCCAGCAATCAGCAGAAGCGTGGTCGCGAGTAGGTGAGGTGTTTGTGTCATTGCCGTCTTGCGCAGTTAAGCGCATATGCGCAGTTAAATTTAATTGTATGAGGCAAGTAAACTCGGTGGAATCTTCATCTTAGTTTTGAAGAGGCTCCCGTAACGGACCGATGCTTATATTATATTCAGTTCAAGCGATTGAAATAAAATAAACGCGGGTCCATCCATAAAAACAACAAGGAAGGGCACACATACCAAAGAAGAAAAAAAAAAGGAGGAGGAAGTAAAAATGGTATTTACATATATCTGTGCAAAAGCATTTGCCTTTTAACCCATCTTTTACGTTGTATGCCAGTGCGGTTTCCCCTATTGTTTTTTTTTATTGTTTTATATCCTTGTTTCTTTGTGTGTGTGTTGAGCCATCTGTTGGATATTCCATCGCTTCGACTGCCTGGTGTGCGGCAATCATTTTGTATTGCTGGCTTACGCTTGTTTTCTTTTATCTTTTGTGCTTTTCTGGCATAGTGTTTCAGGCTGCGTGTTGCAGTTTGTGGTGCGGGAGAAGGAAAGGGACGCAAACGACCTACATGACGGAGCTTGTGAACCCTAACCCCACCATCTTTCGTGGCGCCCTACATCATTCGCTGCAGCGCTCTGCGGATGAGTTGCTACAAGAGCAGGACGACGCACTTCGCGACCCCATCGATGCACTGGAGGTGTTCCAACACATTTGCACTATACGTGACCCTGAGCATCCCAACACCCTCGAGGAGCTGAAAGTTGTGGAGCCGGAACTTATTCACGTGGATGAAGCGAATCGGACGGTGCGGGTGCAGTTCACCCCTACCGTTCCGCACTGCAGCATGACGACGCTGATTGGGTTGTGCATCAGTCTTAAGCTGCAGCGTTCACTGCCGCGTTGGACGAAGGTGGATGTATGCGTCACCCCCTGCTCCCACGAGCAGGAGGAGCAGGTGAACAAGCAACTGAAGGACAAGGAACGAGTGGCGGCGGCACTGGAGAACAAGAATCTTCTGAACGTCGTGGAATCATGTCTGAACGAGTTTGAGTGAGAGGCCAAACGAGGAGTTTTTGCGGTGGTGTGGATAAGGGTTGTTCTCTTTGTGTGTGTGTGTTTTTTTTTATTTTGCCTCTTGGCAGACGCGAATGTGCGCAGCTACCGGCTAACAGGAAACAGGCGAGCGAGGGAGAAGGCACCGCGCCCCATCGCTGTTTGCCTTTCCCCTCCCCCCCTCCACTTTGTTTTTACGCCGCTGTTTTACTGTTACTCATGCGTACGGCAGTGCTGCGTTGCTCCGCTGCAAACTTCACTGACTTGTTGTTCACCGCCCTACACACACACGCATATTTTGCCTTTTTCTTCTCTTCTTCTTATCTTTTCCCTCTGTTGTCTGTAGGAGCGTAGGCGTAGAGGTTCTCACCTCACTCTCACTTTGATTTTCCCTGAGTTTTTTTCCCCCTTTCAAGTTCGTGTTTCACACACCAACACACATATACGCACACCCACCCACTCGCACACGCACACAACCCACCGTACGATTAATACGAGCGGTGTGACATCATATATATATTTATATAAATTTGGTTTTCTCTTTTTTTTTCTTTGTGCGTGTGTGTGTGTGTGTTCGTGTGTTGTTGATAAATAGAGAAGTACACAAAAAGGCAGTTCGTGTGTGGCAGACAGTACTTGTGTGCATTTGTGTATATAACCGCTCTACTGAGAGGAAACCAACGGTGGAGTGCAAGGGAGAATAAGGCGGCGAAATAGGAAGGACTCCGTCATTATTTTGTGCTCTCTGAAGGCAGCAGACATCTGTGCGTGTTCGTTTCATCCGCCAGGGTGTTGTGTCGTGTCTGTGACTCCACAGAACGCGAGGCACGATAGAAACCTTTGTTTTTGTTTGTTTTTTGTTTTGTTTTGTTTTGTTTTGTTTTGTCTCTCTCTCTCTCTGTTTGTGCGTGGGCCGCTGCGTTGGTGAAGGAGGGCGGAAACACGTGAAAGTGGTAGAAGTGAGAGGGCGAAGTAGAAGTCAACGAAAGGGTCGAGAAAGACCGGGTGCGTGTGTTGTGCCTGTATTGCCCAGTCGGGAGAGCGGAAGAGTCAACCTCCCACACATACCCACCACCGTCTTTGTAGGACTAGTAAGGTTTTTTTTTTCCTCCTTTTGTCATTGTGGTCCTCTCCGCTTCCCTTGTACAAAATAGTAGCGAGATATCGCCAGCGGAACACCAAAGCCAGCGCCCACTTCTTCTCGCCTGTGTGTTTTTTTTTTGTGTGTGTGGCGTCTTGGCTTAAAAAAAAAAAAAACAAATCATCCAGGTTGATCTCACTTCTTTTTTTCTTTTTTTTGTGCTTCCTGTGGGCGCTCGGATTCGGTGCGCTTCCGTGTCTGCTCAGCCTACACACGTGCGTAAACATCAGGTGGTGGTTGAGTCTCTGGCCGGGAGCGCGCAACACTTTTTTTTTTTGTGTGTTTGCGCAGGAGGGAAAAAACGCGGGGTGTGAAAAACAAAACGGAAACAAACGAAAAATTTTTAACAAAGTAAATCAAACAAAAAAAACTTGAGAAGAGACCGGCGCTACAAACAGCCGCCGTCGCTCATCTTGCAAGAAAGCATCCGCTGCTACGCCGCCACCAGCGACACGAGTGGGGGATACGCAAGACAATAAAGGCACCTAATTCCGGTTACACGCATATATCAATTCATTTTTTTTTTCTTGGGAAGCGCGTGCACAGCACGCTCACTCGGTAGAGAAAAGAGGCATTGGGCGGCTTTTTATTTTTATTTTTATTTGTTGTTGTTGTTTTCGCCTTGGTTCGTGTTGTTTCGTTGCGTCGTTGTGCGATGAACGAGACCGAGGATTCATCGTCGGTAAGTGACACTGGTCGAGGAGGCGCTGGACCATCGCATACGCCGTCGTTTATTGTGCAAGCGAGCAACAACCTGTTTCCGGGCCAATGTTCCACACCGAATGAAATCCATAGAGGGTTGGAGGCGCGAATGCAGTCTGCGTCCATGATAATCCCTCCAGCGACGAGTGGTGGTATTTCTTCGATGGAATCAAAGAGGGGGTTTTCTGTCACTGCGGGTGAGTCCGGCCCAAATAAGAAGCAGAGAGGAGACGGGGTTCAGCGCTCGCCCTCAGTTGGTCCGGCATCTTTGTTTGGATCTACGCTGAATCCGGACGCCAAGGAATTTCAGTTGCCGGGCCCTCAAACGAATGAAGCTGTGGGTGCAAGTTTGGCGCCCATGTGGCAATTTCCACCTATGTACGGGGCTGGTTCCTCAGTACCTGTGATGTCCTCCGCAGTGCCAACAGCGGCAGCGCCGTGGCAGGCAACTCCATGGCAAGCACACAGCCCTGGTAGCACAAAACCATTCACTGTTTCTGATCCTGAGGCACATGCACAGAGGTGGCCGCATGCCTCAGCGCATCCAACAACATTGATGCCGCGTGACCCCAAAATGTCTTCCATCCCATTGATGCCAGACTTGATTGCACGACAAGTCATGGACGAGTACGCTGAATATTGCCGTGAGAACGGATACCACGTTGTAAGCGTCTCCAACCTGGAGCCTGGCACCACGCAGAAGGATTTGCTGGACATCTTTTTTCCAATGTGTGCCTGTCATGCCGAGCTGCTACCAAGACATCGTTCACCACAACCCAATCGCCGTGCGGGACTTGTGTTTTTCCCATTCAAAGACCCTGCGATGATGGCCGTTAAAAAGTTTGACTGGTTTGTTCCGCACAAACAGCGCAAACAACTTTCAGTGCGGTATTTGGGTCCTGATGCATTGGAAGCTGACGCACACAGCACATCGGTGGCTTCCGTTAACTCAACAAAACCGTTGACTACCATCCAGCAAGCGTCCCAATTGACGCCAGAGAGCGTGGGAAGCACCTCACAGAAAATTCCGCGTCCCCATGCGGACTTGGAGCGGGACAGCATGCATAAAGCTATGTGGAAGTATGTGAGGAATAACAAGTTGTATTTTTCTGCAAGGGGCATCAAACATGTTCTGGCGGTTCATGGCCTGAATGCATTGAATGCGGAGAGTGTGCTACAATCCGTTTTTGTCAGCAAAGGAGCAGAGGGGTATGATATATGGCAAATGAATGCCTCTCCCTCCCTCTCCACTACAAAGTCATCTGAAGGCGTCAGTGCCCTGGTCCGGTTCACACAGGAGTCAATGGCGAAGTTGGTGATGGCGTGGGTTCAACAGCAACATCAAGAAGAAGGTCAGACACACGCGATGGATGTTGTGCACCTTAACAGCCTGGATTTTGCCAGTGAGAAATCTTTGAACGACACGTCTGAGGTACACAGTGCCGCCCACGCTGCTACCAATGGTAGTTTGTTGACCACTGCTTCTCCTTCTTCGAATGTGATAATGGCTGAAAATATTGATGCATTGTTTCCTCGCAAGTATGACGACCCTAATGCGCATCTGGTTGCCGTTGACAGATCCACTCCAAATACGGATCATGGGACACAAGCCAGTATCTTCTCTCTGCACGGCAGGGCTCATGGTGTGGCGGTGCATCCCACTGTCGCCAAGCTTGACGGTGAGCCACATGGAAGTGGTGTGGCATTTCTTGGTAACGAATCCACTGTCCGTGAGGTCGTGGAGAAATGGGACTGCTCTGTGCCTGTAACACAGCCGAACCTGCTTAAGGCTCCTCACCTGGGAGAGGAAGAGAGTTTACGAGTGATGACGCCATTGGACTGCGCCTCCCTCTACACCGGGTTGGCGGAGGATGTGACCAGTGGTGTGGTGCCTGGTACCAAGCTAAATGACATGGTTGTGGTTGTACAGAATATGCTGTACACACCTGCACTGAACGACGAGAAGTTGATGGAGCAGATGAGGCGGGTGATTACGCACCCAGCTACCACGAAGGAGGTGGTTGAGCAACTTGCCTCCGTCATTGACAGGACACTGACAGAGATGAAGCACCATGCAGGAACCCTCGCCACCCCACTAGCGAATGCTCTGATGCTTCTGCATGAGAAGTTGAATATTCCGCGAAATGGTACGCATGACGCCAACGTGGAGGAGGGTGTTTGTGACTCCAATCTGGGGAAGTACACGGATTACATGATATTGATAGCACGCACTGTGATAAATCTATTTATGGATGAAACGAAGCCGCCTGAATCACGTAAAGTTGCGGCCATGTTGGGCGGGTACCTGTTTCAGTTTTCTTACCTTGGAGAGAAGACTCCATACGAACTGTCCGTAGGGCTTATGAATAAGTATAAGATGGCGCTGAATGATGCCCGAGACTACGTTATGAGGCCGCATATGAACACCACAAACTCTGTGACATTTCTGGGGCAAGAGGGGGAGGATGAGAAACACAAGCCGTGGCTAACGCTTCTGGAGTGCCTAGAGGAGTTGACGTCGGTTTGGCGACAAAGTAACAAGTCGCGTGCGAAAAAGGATCCCTTTCGTAAGGAATATGAGCGACGGTTAAGTGAGTTTTCTCAAGCGGGTATGACACGTACAGGCGGTGGGAGTTCAGTGACCGCGAGCACCCGCCCTACTCCTAAACGTGTGGTGGCGAAAGTCGTCCCTGGGTCTGCGGGTGGAAGTCTCAATAGAACTCCTGGTCTAACGTGTGGCTCTTCGGTTTCCTCGCGCGTTAACCCTCACTCGCTTGGGAAATACAGTGGCGTGTCACACGATGTCTCCATGGATAGCAATGCTTCCCTTCTGGCAGTATTACCAGACTTTTCCACAACAAACAGCAGCCTCTCTCCCCGGATGCGGATGGATGGAAGCACTTACATGCTTGCAACGAATCTATCACCATGCCAACTGCAATCACCACCGATACAAAGACATGATGCTCCTGCACGGGGTGATCTCTCGGACGGAGTATGTTTTACGGGGGCAGTGAAACCAATGCCGGGGTGGGCACGCGCAAATGCTGGACTCACGCAATATATTTACACCCACACGGAGCTTTTGGAACGCACAGTGTATATTACAAAACTGCCCTCCTTTCTTCGACGTGCGCAGTTTCGTCGACTGTTGCTCCACTTTGGGGAATTTAACAAGGTGCGCTTGTGCCGTGACGACAATCAGACGCAAATGAAAGCTGAGCCTGTCTTTGCTGCTGCTGCTACTACTACTACTACTACGTCTAATGTTGCGGCGCCCTTTTCGGCTGTCACGGCTGCTGCGCATGGGAGCGAACCTCCAGTGTTGCTTTACTTTAGTTTTGTGGAGTTTGCTGAACAAAGCAGCGCCAGGGCAATGATTGAGTACTTTCGAAATGTTGTGACGAACCCGCAGCCTTTTAGTTTCCTCCGCGATATTTCGGTGGCGTTGCCCGAATCGGGCCATTTTACTCCCCAGGAAATTCAAGGGTTGCTGGGTGTTAGAGCCAGCCCTGCACGGAATCCCATTCACGATCAACATTCCTTGGACGCCGTTCTCGTCTCAGATACAAACACCCCTCGTCAGGTGCTGCGTAAGCAACCGTGTCTCTTTGGTTTTGACGGGGCTGAGAAGAGGTCTGACGCTAGCGCTGATGCAGATGCGTCGGCGGCGTCTGTTCCTTCTGCCGTTTTTGAAAATTTTGCTGGCGGTTATGTGGGAGGCGGCGATCGAAAGACGGAGGTTGCGGTGCTGGCCGCGTCGGAATCGTTGCAGTGGCGCCCGTCCGCAACGACTGAGGCGCAGTCGTTGCGTTTTCGCTCCGACGCGGCGGAGGCGCCTGGTCAGAGCGATCACGACCTCAACGCAACTCCGGAGATGTGGCTAGCGAAGGAGACGTGGCTGACGCACGAGGGAGACCCGTTGGAGGGTGTTTCTTTCATTGAGGGCCCCGCCGGCCCGACGCCTCCCACCTCCGTCAAGGTGGACAGCAAGGACGTTTTATCGCCGCAGTTATTGTCGGCCATTGAGAACCTCTTCCGCGGCAACGACGATGGATGCACAAGCTGAGGCCAAATAAAAACAAAAAGAACAAGAAGTAGTAGTAATGAAAGAGAGCAACAACATTAAGAAATATCGCGGGATCACCTACGCAATTACTGTACGGACTTTTACACCAACAACGAAAAAAAAAACAGCAACAACAACAACAATCGGTGCCATGCACACAGCCACACACGCACATGCATGAAAGCATATACATACATACATATATATGCTCATGTGGTGTAATTACTAGCAGACAAATGTGAGGGCGCAAACAGAAAACAGAAGCAAAAAAGAAAAAGAAAAAGGGGTTGAGTGTGGGGGATTTTTTTTTTTTTGCTCTTTTTTTTTCCTCTCTCTTTTTCATGTATATGTGTATTTATATTTATATACATGCGTGAATATTTGATGTATGTGGGCGAGCCGGTTGCTTTTTTGAATCTTGACAACCGCTTTGCTTCCACAGTTCACTTTGTGCACCTGCTTTTTACCCTCCCCACTTTTATTGTTACTGTTGTTTGTTCATAGACACATTTGCCACCTTGTCTTCTGCGTGTGTATACAGCCATTTTTTTGTATTTGTCTATTTTGTACTCAGCAATTGTTTTTTTTTGTTTTGATTTGCCTTCCTGCTCCATTTGGTTGCTTTTCGCAACGCCTTCCCCCCTTCTTGCACGACTCTTATGAGTGACTCGCCTCCACCCCACCCTTGCTTAGATAGACTTATGGGAGGGTTCTTTTTGTTTTACTTTGTTTGTATGTATCGCTACATCTGTGACGGCGAACACCTCGGCGACGAACACAGAATGTGGAAAATGAAAAGAAAACACAAAAAGAAAAAAAGAAAAACGGAAATAAACACGATACGAAGAAACACAAAATGTTTATTATTATCATTATGAGGGAGAGAGGCGGAAGTTTATGTGAATGGTTTGTTTCCATGTGTATGTGTGTGTGTGTGTGCGTGGGTGGGTGGGTGGGTGCGTGTCACCTCCGTTAAATACCCCCTTCACTCTCCCTCGCAGCGTGTGTGAGCGCGCACGAACAACCACGTACACGTACACGCATACAGACACGAACAAAACCGTGTATGAGGGCAACAAGAAGAGAAAAATATGTTTTTCTACGCTCACACACGTGCTTGCGTACAAAGGAGTGACCCCAATTAGGAAACGGAAGACGACAAGCGTCAAGAGACATGTGACCGTGAGATGAACTAATATATTTGTACACATATCCACGTTTTTGTGCCGCCACTCTTTTTTTTTTTTCTTTAGCCTTTCTTGTTTTTACGACAGCGACGGCAATGTATGATTATATACATACATCTCTATCTCTCTCCCTTTGTCGGTGATGCCCGTTTTGCGCCTGCACACGCACGTTTACGCACATCGCCAATTAATCCTATCTACAAACAAAGACGAGTGCATTGTGCCATTGCCATGTACTTGTTGCTTACCACCGCATACACTTTACACCCGCCTCCACGCCATTCATTTTTCTCTCGCTGTAGGATGTGCGATGACAGCTTCCTACCGTTACTGAGAACGACACTCGCGGCGGCAAAACCAAAAAGGAGTGCCTGAGGAGACTTCCATGGGAGTAAAGGTGAACATGTTTCAGTGCATACGCAGGGAGTGCGTGGACATGAGGAGCGGGAAACTGAGACACTGAGGGAAAAGAAGGTATGAGTCCATTAGACACACACCGAGAAGAGACTACGAAGCAACAAGGGAAAAAGAAATAAGGCGGAATGATGCCGACAAGGCAAAAATTCTTTTTTTTTTTTTGTAATTATTGGCCGTAATTGCTTTGAACTCTCCCTTGCTGGTTTCTTCCTTGAAGCGTGGTGGGCGCTGTGCATGCTCTTCCTAGTATGTATCTGCGTATTGTGGCTTCATGCACATTATTCACGTCTCCTTTTCCCTTCCTTTTTTTTTTTCATCTACCGCTCACTCCTCTACTCTCCCGAACGCACTTGTCCTCTTGTGTAGAATTGGCCTGCGTGCAGATGCCAACTCTTGCTCCGCAATCGCCATAGCCTTAAACGTGCACTTGAGCGTTACACAGGGCCCGAATAAAAACACCAAAAACAAGTTATTATTACAGCATTTTTTTCTTAGTTGTGTGTGTGTATCCTGAACGTAGTCGAATGACGGATTTGCTCCGTGTGACGGTGGAGTGCTGGGAGAATCAGCGGTATCACCCAATGAAGGGATGGGGCTTTCATCGCCTGCCAATGGACCGCAGCACGTGGTCGAACAAAAAGGGGGACACGGTGCTTTGTCGCGACAGTTTTCTCACCCCGATTGGGTGGGTGTGGTTATCCGAGTGGGAGGTGGCACCGAACGGGAACGAGCGCGATGGCTGGTTTTATGCCGCAGATTTTAGCATCTCGACACGCTTCTGCAGTGCTACACCGAGCGCAATGAGCTACGTGCGGCGACGGCGTTGGGTTCGTACGCGGGTGCAGCTCACAGCGGACCTGGGCGTTGATTCTGTGCTGTTGAATGCTTTGAGCCTTTCTTCTTACTTTCGGGCAGACCCACGCATTGTGTGGCTCAGCACCTCCTTCTACGGCTTCTTTGGCGCCTCCGTGAAGGAGCAGCGGGAGAATCAAGACCGCCAGCATGTAAGTTGCTATCATTTACAACAATTTATTGACGCATCTAGTCATGCAGAAAGTGCAAATGATGGGGACGCGTGCGTCGTGGGAAACGGATGTGGCGTCTCTTCTTACACTCGACACCCCTCAATCACAAAAGCCATGCTGCGTTGTGTCTATCGCTACGGCCTACCGCAATGTCTTCGCTCCTCATTATGGCTGAAGTGGTCGGGGGGCTCAAATCTGCTACGTGAATCGCCGCGTTTGTACGATGAGTTAATTGAACGGGTTGATCGTGTGGAAAGACAACCGCTGCAGGATATTTTGCAGGACGTCATGCGAACCTCTCCGCGGCACCCATTTTTTGCGAAAAAGGGAGGCGGCGCGGAGGAGCTTCGCAATGTGCTGCTTGCATTAGAGCTGGCTTGCGCGCTACCATCGTACCATCAAGCGTTTAGTTATATTGTGGCAACGGTTCTCTTGAACCTGCCAGCGCGGGAGGCGTTTTGGGTGGTTACGGCTCTTTTCACTGCTTTTTTGCCCCCCGGCTACCATGAGAAGTACACCTTGCAGTACGACCTGCAGCTCTACGACAAGATTCTGGCGCAGCGGTTCCCAGACCTCCACGCCCACTTTGTATCGAAGCGGATTGATGTTTCAGTGTTTGCAAGCGGCTGGCTGCAGGGTGTATTCTGCGCCCACTTTCCGTTCTGCACGGCTGCTCGCGTTCTCGATGTTATTTTCGCCGAGGGCAACAGCAGCACGCTGGTGCGGTTTCTTGTTGCCTTTACCGGCAAGTTTCGCTCCGAGCTTTTGCGGATGGACAGCAGCGGTTCAGTGGGCTACTTTGCTAACGAATGGGCCCGCAACTGCTTTAGCGTTGAAGATCTCGTGCATGCGATGGAGAAGGATGGCCTAACCCCGTTTGTGCTCTCGCATAGGGAAGCCACGGGTCGTGCCGCTGCTGCGGCGGCGGCGTAGTCGTTGATCGTACTGCCGCTGCTTCCGCTTCTTCTTCCGAGGATGGTGTGATTTTGTTTTCACTTCTTCGCCCTTGTGTCTTGCTGCGAGGAGTACGCTAGCGGAATGCACTGGCCTCTTCCCCCCTCCTCCTCCTCCTCCTATTCTTGTTAAATTTGTTGCGGCAGCGTGGTTTTCAGCTCCTCACGACCAGCAAAACACGTGAGGGGGAACATACGCGCACACATTCAAAAAGAACACAAAACTAAACCAAAGAAAAAAAAAAGAACATAAATAGTGAAAAATATTAGAAAAAGTTTGCTACTGCGCAGTGAAGACCAGATCTGAAGGGCGTGCACTGCGATAGCTGCACTCGTCCACGCACACATGCAGGCGTTTTTGTCTGCGTTCTCTGTTTTTTTGTGCTTGAATTTTTATTTTTTCTTCTGCACTCATTCACTCCTCACCTGTCCACCCACTCACTCACATACACACACACACACACACATTTGCATGCATATCACTACGGTTCAGTGACACTCACAGTGATGTGGACGGGGGCGCTTAGGGCGTACAAGGACCTGCGTACCATGCGGCGTTGGAACGGCGCGCCTGGTAGTGTGACGTATGGTGGCATTGCGAAGACGGAGCAGCCGCGCGAGGAGGGCGATGCGGGTGGTGTATCGACGCCTCTCGTAGCTACTGCACATATGCGGTTTGCGTGTGAGGGAGAAGCGATGAAGCGGCCACGGGAGAGTGCGAACGAAGGCCATGTCGACTCTCAGGGTAGTTCTTGTACGCCGCTGCTGGTGAGGTCTGCGAGTAGCGCAGTGGTGACGGAAGAACGATGTGTGGGAATAGAAAAAGTCGAGGATGGGGACGCCGCCCACGCCTCTGTGGGAACGGAGCCGCACTCAAACGAGGTTGCCACGTGCGAGGTGATAGTGTTGGATGACAACAGCCCAAGCGATGGAGGAGACAGTGCGCTGTTATCTAACACAGCCACGCCAGCATCACATTCGACGAGGCCAGAATCCCTACTAAGCTCTGGGACCTCTCCACTTGTTTCCCCAACACCGAGTGAACCTTCACCAACGTCTATGAACTTGTCTACGGAGCAGCAGCGCGTCTTTGATCTTGTGGTAAAATATGGACGATCAGTATTCCTTACTGGAGGTGCTGGTACGGGTAAGTCTCATCTTCTTCGGGCCATCATTGAAACATTGCCCCGTGCTTCTACCTTTGTGACCGCCACCACTGGAATCGCGGCACTGAACCTTGGGGGATCTACGCTTCACAGCTTTGCTGGTTGCGGCATTGTGGACGCGCAGACGCACGTTGCCGAGGACGTGTGTCGCACGGTGCGTGGTAAAGCGAAGGCAAAACGAAATTGGCGATTTTGCAAGGTGCTTGTAGTGGACGAGGTTTCCATGATGGACGCCTGGTTCTTTGACGTTCTCGAGTACGTGGCAAGAAAGATTCGAGGTAGCAATTCGCCGTTTGGTGGGATTCAACTTGTTTTGGCCGGTGATTTTCTCCAGCTCCCACCTGTGGTGAAGCAACGGGGGCAGGATCCCCGCTTTTGCTTTGAGTCCGAGACATGGTGTCGGGTAAACCCACGTGTTTGTATCCTCTCGCAGCGGTTTCGTCAAAGTGATGAAATGTTCTTTGGCATGTTAAACGAAATTCGCTGTGGGGTGCTCACGGCGCCATCTCTCGCGTTGCTGGCCTCCCTCTCCTCGACCACGACTGTGCGGTTTGTGCAGGAGCAAGCGAAGACGGTGAAGACGGAGAACGGTGACGCAGGCGCGTTGGAGACGCCGTCACAGCTGTTGCCTACCGGCGATGTGGTGGATAGCCGTGGCCGCACACGAGAGGAGCGCCACGACGGCTTTAGTATTCTTCGTGCCCGCCGTGTAGAGGTCGACGATGTGAACTTTAAACGTTTCAACGAATTAACGACTGAAATTTTTTCCTACCGCGGATTTCACTGGGGCGAAGGAAAATATCCTTCGGACCTGCCGGCTGTGGTTTCTGTGAGGGTTGGCTGTCGCGTGATGCTGCTTAAAAACCTTGATGTTTCTGTGGGACTTGTGAATGGCAGTGTCGGCACCGTTGAGAATTTCATCGACGCCCGCAAGGTGAGGGACTTTGCAAACAAAACAACACCCGCCGATCTCCGTAATATGGCACCGCACACATTTCTGCCTGTGGTGAGGTTTGAAACGGGGAAAGGGAACAACACCAAGGAAAGCACCTGCGGACGTCTTGTGATGGTGGAGCCCCATCGCTGGACTGTGCTTCAGGGTGACAGGGAGGTGAGCTACAGTGCACAAGTTCCTCTGCAACTTGCGTATGCGATTACGATACACAAATCACAAGGAATGTCCCTTGCACGCGTAAATGTGGACTTTAAAGGTATCTTTGAGGAGGGACAAGCGTATGTGGCGCTTTCCCGTTGCACAGATATGAATAATCTTATCATTGAGAACTTTGACGCCCACCGGGTAAACCCCAACGCAAAGGCGCTGGCCTACTACAAGGCAGTGGCAGAGGCAGCGGAGGCTGAGGAAAAGGAGGAACAGGAAATGTTGCACGCTTGTGTTCGTTACCCATGGGGATACAACAACGACCACATCGAGGATACCGAAGACGATGCGGGAGCTCAAAAGCATGACAATGCCTCCTTGTTTGCCAATCACAACAGGCGGAGTGTGGCAGATGTTGTGGAAGAAATTCGTGGACGCATCACGCCATCGTATCTTTTATGGTCCTCTCTACGCCTGCGTGTTTTATCCACCGTTGAGCTTGCCTCATCTGTGCATGGGGCACTACTTGTCATGGACGTAACCTCCTTACTTGCCCTAGGGAGCTCTCCTGACTCTGCGGCACTTTACGCAAAGGTGTTTGTTAGCAACCAAAACATGATGCGGGTGCCGCGTTTGGTGAAGGAGGAACTGCTGCACACCGCCTCCGTCGATGAAGTTGAGGTGCGTGTGACACCGACAGTGTGTCTAAGCTTCAACAGTCTACGCTCGAGTTCACCTCGAGTTTGTGGTCTTCATGAGGCAGCAGAGTTGGCCGCAGGGACGCTCTGCATCATGGAAGATGCCAAAAGTGATTTTGTGCTGGACGAACAACGTGATGGAGAATCGAGACCGCTGCCGCCTCCGATGCCAGGATGGGAGGAAAGTTTCTCTCTACATGATTGGAGTGTTGGTGGGCGGAAGGACACGTGCGCGGGCACTTCCTGCCCTCAACAGCAGCAACAGGTTCAATTACTGGAGTTTGCATGCTATCTCGTGGAGCAGTATAGTTCCCACCAAGCTGTGTTGGTGTGCACGGAGTCTATTGAGTTGGCAGCGCGTGCGCTTGCGGCTGGGTTGCGCGTGTGCTCTATGATGTACCTGTGCCCAAGAGGTCGGGCATGAGTTGTGTGGAGTAGATAGACGAGACACGGAAGAGGCAGGGGTGCGTGTTTGGGTGTAGACAGCGAGTAGTGGTTCTTACCTCTTGTCTGCACAGGAGTTGGATTGCATTGCATTAAAAATAATTTTCCGCAGCAGTGTGACGCCGCGTTGCTTGCGCCCCCTTTTTTACCCAGTCCTTATCGGCATTTTCTTCTCTCTTTCTATTTCTTTCTCTTTTTTTTTACTTTGACTTTCTGTTGTTTTGCGTGTGTGTGTGTGTGTGTGTGTGTGTGTGTGTGTGCTTTTTGCGCGACCGGACGTGGCATCTCCAACAACTGCGTGGGGACCTGCGGGGAAGAGCAAAGCGACACACCGCACGCGTATTTCGGTTAAGGGGGTCAGCGATGGGGGACAATGGCAAGCTACGGGCAGCTCACTTGCTCGTCAAGTTCAGTGGAAGCCGTAACCCCGTTTCCCGCAGGACTGGAAAGAGCACCGCGAATATCTCGTACGACGCGGCACTTGCCGAACTGAAGCAGTGGGCAAAGAAGATATCAGATGGCCAGATGACCTTCGAGGATGCGGCACGTCAGCGCAGCGACTGCGGCAGCTATAGCAGCGGCGGTGACTTGAATTACTTCGGCCCCGGTGAGATGATGAAGCCCTTTGAGGACGCAGTTCGTTCGTTGCGGATCGGCGAGGTTAGCGGGGTGGTGCAGACGGACAGCGGCCTGCACATTATCAAGCGACTTGCGTAGGAGTAATGCCACGACTATTTTTGTTTTCTGGGTCCCTCAACAGTAAGGAAAAACAACAACAAGAAGGAAGGAAGGTTGTAGATATATTTCTTCTACTATTCACGTGTGTGTGTGTGTGTGTGTGTGCGTGTTAGAAGGCTTATGGTGGAAACAACGGCTTCACGCAGAGCACTCACGTGCTGCAGTCTTTTATGCAACCACATATTTTGACAGACCCGCTTTCTCCCCTTTCAGTTGCCGCTGCGTCTGTGTGTCTGTGGCTGCCTGCGCCCGTGTGCATTCCTGACCCCTCTGTATGCGTCCCTGGTGAACAACTCACGTGGTGCATAAGTTCTTTGGCGCCTTGCTTGCTTTTGAAGGTGAAGGAAGATTTGCGTCCGCACCTGCCTCCGCGTCCAAGTGAAGTGCGGTCCGTAGGAGCAGTCACAGCGGTGTTGGTGTTGTTGTTGCTGCTTCGCCCCAGTGTTTGGGTAGCGGGACAAGAAGAAGGAGACGCGGAATTGCGTCAGCTAAAACAGTCAAAGAAGCAAGGTGAAAAGAATAAAAAGAGGGACAGGACGGTGTATGGC